TCTCTAGGTTTCTTCAAAACTGACAGCTGACCAAAACCACCAATTCCACAATTAAACCCTTTATAAAACATTGCTCCTAAACAAATTTTCAAGGTAGTAGACCAGGAAGGCACCTGATCCTCAATAATAAATTTGTTTTTGGGTCCTCAATTGTGAAAAGTTTTTTCCACTGGAAAAATTGCTCATGGAATCTTCCTTTACTTCGGAAGCCATGGAAGCTGAGGAAGAAGCTGAAAGCTTGGGGCTTCTCTTGAGCTGAAGATCTGAGGCTGCAAAGCAAAAGGATAATGAATACTACAATCAATTACAAAAGATTCCTCACCAGGAATCCAGATTTGTTTTGGTGATAGTTTATTATAGAGGGACCCCTCTTTGTTTGAGGGGGGGGGACCCCCCTTTACTAATCAGGATCCAACATTACCCATGTTTCGGCTCCTCCATTTCCACGTGGCCACCGAGGTGCACCGCAATGAGCGGCGACCCCGGAGGCAATACCAGACCGCGTCTGGTTTGTCGAGGGCCATTTTGGATAACCCGACAAGGTACCGATATTTGCTCCATAGCCAGAAGCAAGTCAAACAATTCCAAAACTTCCGGCCCAACGGCGTCGAGGCGACAGAAGTCCGTAGACGCCCGGCGTCGGGGTCTGTGACAGATGCCCTAGGTATGTGGCAGCGCCCCTATGTGCTTCGGTTCCACCTTACACTTGCTTAGCTACACGAGGTGCACGTATCTATAAACGAAAAACCTGGATCAAACAAGTTCCCAGCTACCCACCTTGCCTTTTAGATTCGTGAGCGCGCTACATGCACTCTCGAACTCGAGGGCAGTCTTCTCGAACACCTCCCTCCTGCCACTCGGAGATCACAGTGTGCCTTTCAGGGATGGACGTGCCGCAGCTGGCGTCGGCACACTTAGCTTCCGGGAATGCAGGTAGGCAACGCACGAAAAGAGTTCCAGTCGAGAATCAGAGGAACCTTTTTCTTCACAAAAGCTTCTTTTGCGCTGTGCAGATTGGCGTGCCGTCGGCGTCCCAAGGCGCAACCTGAGAACCTCTTGGAGAAGACCCAAGGTGCACCCAGCTAATCTCAATTTAGAAGCACGGGTGTACCCGTGTCACATCCCTTTCCGCTGCAGAAGCAGTCCCTTTGTTTTCTTTCCGATCTTGTGGAGCATGTCCGTGTGCTTGGGTTTTTAGTACCTGCTGAATTGTGCTTGGCTGCGAATATCACACCGTTCGATTTGTTGCACGTGCGTCGAGCAGGACCTACGCGGGAAGGCCGACTTGCGGAAGAACGATGCACCCCGGCGCAGGCAGCGCCTGCGTCGTTTGAGTTCTCCGGTTCTCAAAGCACGGCGGACTGCTTGGACCTCCCCCCCAAGCAAAAAAACAAACTGCACCAGGACGTGGAAAAGCAGCCTGCTTGTAGAGGAAAATTGTCATCCAAGGGGCTATGCCATCCAGTTCCGTAAATATTTCAGGGACTGTACTTATTTTTGTTTGGTTTCCTTGTACCTTGTCAAAACAACAATGAATATAACTTTGCGGGCCTCTGGACAGGTCGTCGATGGTTACCGATCCCTTTCCTTCACTTTTGAGACTTAACCCAAGTAATCCAAAGGAACGCACTCCTTCTCTTTGGGGCAGTGCACAAGTAGAACGAAGCATGGGTGGGCGTAGTGGTCCAGCTTCGCGGAGGGACGTTGGGAGGTGAATGGAGCGGTGTTGCGGGGCTTAGGTATGGTCTTGGGTGTCCAAAATGTGCACAATGCCTGCGACAGGCAATGTTGCGTTGAGCACATGGTCGCATCACAAGCATCATGGTAGGCCGCTCCGGGTCAGTGCACAAGTAGAACGAAGCATGGGCGGGGGTAGTGCTGGTCCATGCTTCGCGGACGTGTGTTCGGTGGTGAGTGGAGCTGTGCTGCGGGGCTGATACGATGGGGTTGGGTGTCCAAAATGTGCACAGTACATGCGCCAGACAGTCAAGGCATGGCCGACACGGGAGGAGCGTTATGTGCCACAAGCGCAACGTGGGAAATTGCACGGTTGGAACGAACCTTGGAGGGGACCGATACTGCTCCAGGCTTCCTGGAACGGTTGTCAGAAGCCATGTTGCAATGTTATTGGAGACTAGCTGCAGATTGAAAACAACCAGTTGATATATATTATATATATACACCTAGAATCCGTTTGACCCTTTTTTTGACAGGAAAGGCCATATTTGAGATAGTTGACCCTCCAAAACAGGGGTCACTCAGGTTCCAAGTATATGATACATCCAAAAGCCAACCCGACGAAAGACGGAACTGCCACGCGCCCAACGCCACACGTGGCCCAAACTGGGGATCCGTCGGAGACCGTGCGGCGCAGAGTCGGACGGAGCCCTAGAAGTACGCCAGGGCTGGGGAGGGAAGATGGAGGGCAGCGAGACGGAGGTGCATGGGTGGAGACGAGGCTGGGGAGGGAAGATGGAGGGGAGCGAGACGGGAGGCGACGGGGCTGGGGATGGAAGATGGAGGTGGGACGGGAGGCGCGTGGGGTCGGGGCTGGGAGGGAAGATGGAG